AAAATTTAGAAGCTAAAGAACAACCTTATGACACTTGCCTATTATCACAGTGACACGGGGTCTGGAAAAGCAATTCAAATAGTCATTAATTTACCTCCAGTGAGAGTATTGTGTTGAGCCTTTTAATCAGTCAGTCAAATGTAGGGAAAAGCACTGGATTTCCTTAAGAGTAATTTTTAATGTAGAGACTACAATATTTAACCCATTCAGCAACAAACTCTAGCCAAAACATTTCAAAGATAGAAGTCATTACCTGGGATTTGAGAACAAGACCTGCCTCTGTATGTGGCTGTCTCATTCCCCAAAGTTTAAGGGCATATAGTATCTGAAACACACCTTCTTGTCAATGACCTTGAGAGTTGTGCAATGTTGAGGACACACAGTTCCCAGGCCTCCCACAAACCCAAATGTTGGAAAGTAGAATGGTGGTAGCTATGTGAATAACAGGAATTGAGTTGGTTATTTTCCTGTCGTTGGATTTCCCTTTGGTCTTGTTAGGGTATGTTACTGACTCGAGAATAATATCAATTGTATTCCTCAGATTGCAATATATGGCAGAAACTTCTGCAGGTCAGCAAGAGATGCTTTCAATTTGCTGATGAGAAACATTCTAAAGTAAGTAATCAGGCTGAACACTGCAATGAATAATTTGGTGAACCTGTAGCATTACATTCATCACATGTTACAAGTGTTGGTAGCATTATTAGACATGAATGTTATCGTTTAATATGATAGATTTAAATCTTCTCTCTCACACCATTAATTTCTTTTCATAGCTTAGAATTTTTGCTTTCATCATCCACCCATGTCTTGATACCCACTGGCATTTATTCATTTTTATTATCCCTTCTGTTTAGAAATTCCCCAGATGAACTACATGATCATCTTCTCCCTGGCCATTTTCCCCTCCCAAAATTGATGGAGTCTGAGTGAACAAAATCAGAGAACAAATGTAGTATCCTCAGGGTGTCTTTAGGCCTTGAATTAGAGAGAGAGGCTGCCACAACCATTGCAGGGCACTTAATAGCCCTGCGATGCCATCTTCTGTTTACTTCACTAAAAATAAGTCAGAACTTCATCCCTGGATTTTACCTTCAATTCTTGTAAAACAATTGCCAAATAAAATTTCAGCAAAAACACATCAGAACGAAGTCATGAATATTGACTGCCATAAATTTCAAGTAACAAGTATATTTTAAACACAAGATTATACTTTCTTTTTTTCCAATATTCAGAGTTGCAGTTACGGATGAAGTTACATACTTTGTATTATTCCTGGGGAAAATTCTAGTATCTGGGAGTATGGGTAAGTAATAATGATAAAAATAATAAAAAGTTCAAAAGATGCTTGGAAAAACTGCTTTACTGCAAAAAATTATAATCCTTTGCAAATGCATAATATGCATGTTCTGCCTTTTCAATGTAGGTATTCTGGCCTTCCTGTTCTTCACACAGAGAATGCCAATGATTGCAGCAGGACCAACATCTTTAAATTACTACTGGGTACCTTTGCTGGTAAGAGCTTATGTCTGAGGCAGTTTGGGCTGATCTAACAAAGATACCATAGACTGGGAAGCTTAAACAACAGAAATTTATTCCTCACGGTTCTGAAAGCTGGGAGTTCCAAGGTCAAGGTGCCAGCTGCTTTGGTTCCTGATGAGGGCCCCCCTTCCTGGTGTGCAGAGGGAAACTTTCCTATATCTTTGCGTGGTGGAGAAAGAGAGAGATCATCTCTCCCATATCTCTTCCTATATGGGCACTTAACTCACCCTCAGGCCCTAATTACCTCCCAAAGGCCCCACCTTCAAATCACATTGGGGATTAAGGCTTCAACTTACAAATTTTGGGGGGACACAATTCACTCCACAGCAGATGGGTATTGTTGACTCTATGATTTATCAGAGATAGCAAAATAAAAAACAAAAAGGAATAGGAGAAATGATAATGAAAGCAACCCCCATTCCACTTTAGAGATTGGGTTCCTTGGAAACAACCGGACAGAGGGTTGCATGCAGGTTTGTCAGGAAGTTCTCTCCTGAGTTACATTTGTAAGGAAGTGAGGTGGGCAGGACAGGGCAGCAGGAGAAGATGACCCATGCTGCAGTTACAGCAGAAGCCTCAGAATTACGGAAAGTTCTGGCAAAGGGGCTGGGCCTTTGGAGGCTGCATCGGGCAGCTGTTGGCTTATGAGCTGACCCCTAGATGGGGCTGTAACCTTGGGTGAGGCAGTTAGTTCCCTGCAGGCAGGGCAATGCCTAGTGGGGGAAGCAGCTGAGTCATTAGCAGCCTACATTCCCAACAGCTGGGGATGGATGAGGCAGCTGGAGGAGATCTGGGTGGAGCCCTGTGGTATCCAGTACAGTATATTAACTCTCCAAATCCAGATCTCATAAATGCTGTTATTACTCACATTCTCCCCTCCCCCATGGCCAATTTTAGATAGGCAGCACAGAGAAGTTAATTCACTTATTGAGTGCCTGAGCTGTAATTCAAACTCAGGCAATATGTGCTCTTAACCCCTAATGCTTTTACTGCCTATGTGTACAGGATCCTAAAACTGGGATATTTTTGATAGGCACTGGGACTGGAAGTAAGAAAATGGTCAGGTAATTTAATACATTTCATTTAAATCTCAGCACGAAGCACACAAAAGAAAATTATCATTGAATTTTTTGGTCTCTGTATTGAAATGTTTTCCAACACAGAGTACTTCAAAACTTTCTCATGGTGGCTTTCATGTACAGCTGCATTATTGTTCTTCTGGACAAAGTAAATGACATGTTGGTTCTCTTCTTTACCCATTTGCAGACTGTCATTTTGGGGTCTTACCTGATCGCACATGGGTTCTTCAGCGTCTATGCAATGTGTGTTGAAACAATTTTCCTCTGCTTTTGTAAGTATTCAGTGTGTGTTTCCCTCTTCCGTGGATAACTGAAAGATGAGAAGGTGAAGACCGGCATCCTTAGCTGGCTTGTGGATTTGCTATTACCTGGCTATAACTGCAAAATAATGTTTATGTGGAAGGAGACATTGCTTAGTAGATGCTCTTTAAACCTTAACAGTTGAGAAATAAGCCAGACACAGAGGCAAATACTTCATGATCTCACTTACATGTAGAATCTAAAAAAGTCAAATTCATAGAAACAGAGAGGAGAAAGGCGATGACCATGAGAAGATGTCGGTCAATGAGTATAAACTGCCCATTATGCAGGCTGAATAAACTATGGCAATCTAATGCACAGCATGGTGACTATAGTTAATATTATATTATTTACTTGACATTTGCGAAGAGAGTACATCCTAGGTATTCTTACCACACACGCAAAAACTATGTGAGGTGATGAGTATGTTAATTAACTTGATTTTGGTAATCATTTCACAAAGTATGCATATATCAAAACATTGTACACTGTATATATAATTTTTACTTGTCAATTACACATAATAAAGTCAAAGAAAAAAATTATACTTCACAAAAGCTTAGGGAAAAATACAAAATTACCAAAAAAACCCAAAAAACAAACAAACAGAAACCCTTAAAGCTGAGAGAATGGAGTTTGCAAAGGGCAAAAGAGTCAACTATTGAAATAAATTTAAAAGCATTAAGAAATGCTTTTAAATGTATAATAATAATTGGCTTCTGTTGTGCTTTGTTAACAGAACTGAGAATGTAACTGAACCTTAGGACCTAGGTTTTGGGAATTCTTTGAGTACAGCATTTATAGATTCTGATAAAGCCAAGATGGCAATGGTTTCAAAGACACATAGGGCCAATTCACACCATGTAACATGATGACAAGTGGATAGGATTCAGAGAAGAGCATGTCTAGGACGTGGCTGCACCAATTTAGATACACAGAGCTAAAGTACGTCTTTAGAGCTTTCATCACTGACTTGTGCACTGTGCCCCATGTGGCATATGCAGCTCACATACACATGATGGATGTACCTCATCTGAAAAGTCCTGGAGAACCTAGTGCCCCCGGGAGCTTAATTTTGCCCTCACCTTCAATGTCACCTCTTTGGCAAACCTGGAGAAGGTAGAGTCAGCAGATAAAAGAACATAACTTGTTAGCT